TCCGTAGACCCCAAATGCAAAGCATAAGAATCAAACCCTGCATTGACTTCAAACCCCCCTACGGAAAGCCCAAAGCCGGGAGGCGCTTCTGGTGGAGGGAATCCTCCCCGACGGCGCCGTCGAAGCCTTCAACAGGCCGTTCTGGGCTTGCCGCATTCTCTGGGAGCCCGACAAATCCCATCAATTCTAGCAGGTGCCGGGAGTGAAAATCGCCATGGGATGTCTGTCTTGGCTGTAGAGCTGTGTGGTCCCTATACGGCTACAACCCCTACACCAGGTGTGTTAGGATCGCATGGGATTCATGCTGAGCTTGCGAACACAAAATGCAAGAGCTTAGTACAGGGGCTTCAATTGACATCTCCGAAAGGCCCCACCCTGAAACCTAAACCCGGCACTCGCAAAATGCTCAAAACACTTTCTTGCGGCCGCACTCGGAATGCGAGCTTGTTGCCCTTGGCAGGCAGTGCGCCGGGCCCTTGGAGAGTCTTCGCGTTTAGTGGTGCAGGAGAATCCGTTTGTGGCAGGCTTCCTGGGTTGAGGGCGTCGCCGGTAGATGGTAGACGCTAGGGGGTTTGGGAATGAGAATACGTTTGGGGTCTCGAGTGGAGGAACGAGGGCCAAGGGCCCAAGCCCAAGCAGCCCAAACGTACCGCATCCTGGATCCGACGCTGAGCCCATGCCAAACCGAACCCGACAAAGGAACGGCCCGTCCTGGACACATGTGAGCCTGTGCATCGAAAGGAGGGTTCGGGAAGGTAGATCCTCAGTGCCGGGCCGGTGAGAAAGATTGAAACTTGCGGCCTAAACCTCAAACCTCAATCCTCAACCCGTCACAAACCCTAAGGATCCTAAACTTCTTAATTAACACTTCTGAAAGTCTTGATTCTGATCGGGACAGGTCGGGCTGGATCCTAGCCGAGTGGCCAAAGGGAACTTCGCTGAGCCCTTATCTCCTAAACCCCAACACACCCTAACTGAAGCATGAAGCAGCAACCAACAAATCGGAACCCTTGTAGAGTCTGCATCTCAAGAGAAAGCCCCCTTGTCCGACCCTACTTGTCGCTGAAGTTTGGGACGCTCTCAGTACCACCCGGTCCAGAGAAGGCGAGCAGCGCAAGCCGCGTCGTCTGCGTGGGCGACCGGATCACCAGCCAAAGCCCCAAGTTGCTGCGTGGCATCCGGTTTCTTGTTTCGGAGCTTGTTCCAAGAACGGGGTTCCTTTCTTCGACGTCGTGATTCTGGAGCTAACATGTGCAGTTTTGGGGATGGGCTTTTATGGATGACAAGGCATATTGTGTCGAAAGTAGCGGCTGCAGAAGCTATTCCGGTTCCCGGATTTTGGCTCCAGTGGTTTTCATCGGCAGTCCTCTGCTTGAAACGGTGTGCGATGGGTGTGGCTGCCCTGCCGGACATGACTTTCAATATTCAGCCCCGCGCACCCAGAACCGACAGCAGTAGTATGCAGCCTGAAAGTGTTCCAGCAGTCTTGAAGTTCGAGAGAACAAGGAACTCTGGAGTCTCGTTTTTACACTCAAGACAGTTGGAGCCTCGAGCCATTCGTTCCGGCTAAAGCCTTCCAAACCCCCTAAACCCCAAATTTCCTAAGTGTCACTAAGTATTCTAAGTATACATACCCCCTAAACCCTAAACCCTACATGTCACTAAGTAAACAACCCTAAAGCCCGGCCCTTCTGTGAGGCGTCAACAGCGTGGCCAACGATCCTGAGAAGATGCTCGAAGAGAGCAAAAGCAAGCTCGGAGCCCCAACAAAGCCTCGACGGCTCCTGCTAACTCGGGTTCAGGGTTTCGGGTTTAGAATCTAGGGTTTTAGGGTTTAAAGTTTGGGGTTTAGGGTTCAAAGTTTAGGTTTTCGGGTTTAGGGACAATCGTAAACCCAAGCAATTCAAGCTCCGATCCGCGGATGAGCCTGGATATGGGGGTTTCCGAAAATAGGGGACCCTACTATAGTACCCCCAAATAGTAGGATCCTTATCAAAAGGACCCCCAAAATAAGGTACCCTAATTCCCATATAGGAGACTGGACTGGGTGAGGTTTTAAGTCAGAAGTTCCCGAACCGGGCCTTCTATGACCTTTGTCAAGCAGAAACCATGCGCTCCAAACCTCAAAAGCACCTTTCCTGAGATCCTTATCGAAGCTTCACATCAACTTGGAAGCAAGATGAGTCGTGCTGGCATTCCTTCTTCACTAGGCCTTCTACCGTATAAGCAAGCCGCAAGTTCTAAACCTTAAAGCTTGCACTCTCTAAACTAAGTCCTAAGCCCTGCAAGCCGGAGCCCTCAGCTGACAGGCAACTGCTCAAGCTGACCTTGGCTCGTGGCGAGGGCCCCCTGCCTGAGGTGCCTTAGACAAGTGTTATGGCAAGAGCAAGTTGGGTGCTTGTTATCGCGATAAGAAAGCATTCACATGATGTTTACTGTGAGCTTCAGACAGGAGTTAGGTTGTTTTCCTTGAACAGCTTTTGGTCGGGTCTGGTAACGCAGCTTGACTCCAATCCCCCGAGCCCTGAGCCCTAACTGTAGTTTTCATTAGAGCAGTGCACCATGTAAAGGCCCCACTATCTGAGGTATACGGTCGGTTTTCTCCATGTACTACCCGTTTTCTTGCACCTCGTGCCCGCACTCGAAATCGATGTTCGGGTGTGGAGTTACTTTGTACTAGAGTAAATAACCTTGGGGTTTTATAGGTCCCGTATGATCCCAAAGGTTAACCTTTAGTTTCCCTTGGAAAGCCGGACACGGCTGCGTGCTGCAGAGGGTCTGCGGGTTGGGGTTTCGGGTTTCGCCTTGAAGCCGCGGGAAGTCGAGGGGCCGAGGATTTCTGTCGCAGGGTGGCTGGGGTTTAGGATTGCAGTAGATGCTCTCATGGTAGCAGCCTGGCCCTAAACCTGGACCGCGAAATCCAAGAGTCATGAAAGCAACACGAGTCGGAGTTGTGGGTCTAAGTTCTAAGAGTCTAGCATTCAGGGTTTGGGGTGAGCCTCAACCCTGAATCCTTCAACCGGACTCATTCGCCCCAGCCGCACCCCACGGACAGGTCCAAGCCAAGATGTCGGGTCCTCAACCGCCCACAAGAGTTTAGAGGATCCGAAGGTCCGAAGGGCCCAATGTCTGTTCTGGTTTAGAGCACTGAGCTGGCGGCTTTGGGTGTTTGGGCATCGAGCTTTGAGGGATAAAGGGTGTAGAGCTCCAGCGCTTTCGGGTTTGGGCTTTCATGGTCGAGGCTTCTCAGCATGTAGGATTCGGTGCAGCAGCGTTGAGGGTGAGGAAATCTTGGAGGAGCTTCGGGTCCAAATAAAGGGTGCGCGGTTGCTTTGGGGGCTTCAGGGCCCTCTGCGACGGCAGATTCCTCTGCCCTGAAGAGGAGAATGCTCAAGTCAAGTCAGGAGAGTCGCCACTTTCGAAATCGATACCCGAATCTAGAACAACCCTCAAGGTCTCAGGAGACCCTGCAGAGCCTCAAGACTATGAGAATAGCCCCTCCTGTCCCGAGAAGATGCCTCCACAAGGGAGGAGAAAGCCGTAAATTTGCCCAGCCATCAGCAGCCACAAGTTCAGCTCCACCGCGGCCTTGACAGGATGGACTGACATTGCGGTGCTCTTGCAGCGCAGCAACAAACACCTGTTATCAAACCCTGACAAATAGGATAGTAGGATGCAGTCCGATACTTGCAAAACCGAGTCTTTGAGCTTATTCAGCCCCCAGATCCCTCTCTGCATCCCTCTATAAGAAGACTCTAAAGGCCTTCTAAGGTCCCGGGTCGAGGGGCCCCGAGAGCCCCATTAAAAACCTCTGTGAAGAAATTCACAAGGAAAAGTCATTGAACCCTAAAGGGGTTTTAGGGTTTAGGGTTTTAGGGTTTAGGGTTTAGGGTTTAGGGTTTAGGGTTATTGAACCCTAAATAGCACGCTCAACTTTGCCCTCCGGCCCCCACCTGCAGCGCCCCTCTACATTCCCAGCCTCACAGCGACCCTGCAACCTTAGGCTTTCGAGAAGAAGGACTCCTTTTTTTTAGCACCCATGTCACACTGTTCTGGAACCCTAAACCCTAAACCCCTAAACCCTAAACCCCCTGAACCCTAAACCCCAAAAAGGCCCCAGAGGTCTCTACAGAACCCCCGGGCACTCCCCAAAACTCACCAAAGCGAGGTCGGGGCTTCGGGCCGCGGCCACGGAGTTCGTGCCGAAGACGTCGAGCCAGGCGACAGCTGTGGGGTGGACTGCTTTTCAAGGGCACTTCAGGGTAGTACTTTTGGGCTTTTCAGGGCAACGATAAGGATTCCTGCAAGGCTTATTACGAGGGTATTCAAGGGTTTAGGGGTTTGAGGGTGGTGGGCGTCTTTTTCGGAGCGGGAGAGTTCCGGGTTCGGGGGGAGGGATGAGTCTAGAAACAGAAAGCTACTCGAATTGTTTGGGTGGTTGTGGGCTACATGCTAATGGAAACAGGCGTTCTTCACTACTGTTGCGAACATCGGCTTGCATTCCCATGGCCTTCAGCCTTAAAGCCAGAATCAGAAGCCCTCAAGGTGTTACGCGATAGGAACGCAAATAGGTATAGAGCGTTTATGGGACCCTACCCAAGAATGGATCCTGGATGGTAGTTACGAAGCCCCGACCCAGTATTTTGCCAGGCCGGTGAAACTTCCAGCGAGGTGTGAGAGGGTCGACGCGCCGGCCTCAAACTTTGGAACCCTAAACCCCCAAAGATCCCTTCGAAGCTCTACACTTCTAAGCCCCCTTCCACCAGCCGCGGCGGCGCCGCGCCGTTGGCAGCGACAGCCAGAAAGCGGAAACTTAGCAGAACCCCCCAACAGTCTTGCGAGTTAATGGTCCTGAAGCTGGTTTCACTTCGTCTTTGATGCCTTTCCTTCTCGGGGTCGCCGGTCATCTGTCCTAGGTGCACCCCAACAGAGGCCATTTCTGAGCTCAAGAAACAGCACCACGGACCAAGCCTGTTGCTGTAAAGATCGGGTGGTCATTGATGCTGACGCGCTTCTTGGCTTTCTGTGCTCTCGCGGCTGCCGAAACCTGTTTGAACGGCACAGAGTGCGAGGAGGTGAACTTTCTGAGCTACGCTGCGGAGGAGGAGGGAGGGTGGAAGCAAAGGGGCCAGGGAGGGCACCTTCGTTTGATGCTGAGCATCCATCTTAGTGGCCCCTACGTCCACAAGTGAACCCTGACTCACCGAACTCTCCCAAAGACTGGTTAAAATATTGCTAAGCACCCGTTGAGAAAAAAGGTCTTCAGTTTCCTCAAATCAAGCTTGCCCCAGACCCAAGTTCCCGTTCAACTAGACACTTCTAACGAATAGGAGGATTTCCATGCAAATTGGCCCCAAATCCACACGAAACCGTGATCTGTTTTTGGTGTCCCATGAAGTCAAGAAAACCCGACATAAGCACAATCAAAAGCCTACAAGGTTTCCCCTAACCATTCGGGCGGCAGGCACATCCCCATTCTACCTAGGACCTAGCATCAAAGACAAGGGATGAGTCGGATCCCAATTTCAGACCCACCGAGCTCTCCAGGACTTTCCTCGGCGGAAGCGAAGATCCAGACGTCATTACCACCATGGCTACCGACCCTGCGAGAGTGCTGAGAGGCCCAGCTTGGCCGAGGGACCAGTGGCTTGGTTGAAGCGGAGCACTGTTTGAACTGTTGGGAGTATCAGTAGTAACATTGCTAGTATCATTATTGCTACCCATTATCTTTGTGATTAACATTTCTGTTGTTGTTGTTGTTGTTGTTGTTGTTGTTGTTGGTTGTTGTTGTCGTCGTCGTCGTCGTTATGACCACTGTTATTCTTATTGTTGTCATTAGTAACTCATTAGTACTGTTGGTGTTACTGTCTTTATGATGATTCTGGTGGGCTCAAACAGCGGGCAATCAGAGGAGCCTCTAATGGAAGACCAGGGTCGACCTTGCCCCTGACGCCCGAAACGCTTCACAGGAAGGGAATTGCACCGACAAAGCTCACCCCCCCCCCAAAAAAAAAAAGTGACGAATGATCTTAGGAATTTTCAGGGGAAGGCTTGACGGCGAGATCTTGGGCATTTTTGGCTTGGGATAATAAAGAGTAGCAGTATGTGCTGATAACAGAGATCCACTGAGCTGAGGGAAGAGATGGCTAGGCTGGGACCGACTCCTGTGGTTTGGGAAGCAAGGGTCGATTTATTTTTCAATGTGCGAGGAATCCGTCGGAGCCGGAGCTTGAAAAGGGGGGTACTCGTAGTGTTGAGAGCCCGATGAGGTACCTTGCACCTATTCCAAGACCTATGCCTATCCCGCCACGGTGGTGCAAGAAGATTCTGGAGGAGTGGCGCAAATGGAGAGTCGATGCGACAATGCTGGGGAGGACTATGTGAATAATCAGTGTCAGGCAGGGGGCTCAGACAAAAAACCTGACACCAGGGCTATCCAATAAACCCTAAAGATGAGCGCCTAAAGCCCGAAGCCCCGACGCCTGAGCTGCATCGCTCCGAGGCTACCTGCATCATCAACTCCAACTCGGAAGGATATAACTACAACAAGTGGGATGCCGTCAAGGCGTGCCCTTATCCGGCAGGTGCCACGGAATTTCCCATAGTAACGAATCAGGAGCAGTGCATGCAGCTCTATGACAACTTCACTGCACTGGGTGAGGCTGTGGACATCACCTGGAACGGCGAGGTGTACAAGACGGGCATCGGTCATGGAGCACTGATCGGTGTGCGTGGGAACTGCCTCACCATCCGCTACAACGGCAAGAACGCCGTGATTTTTCAGGTGGACATCAGGTCCTGGTCATTGGAAATTACTCAGGCCACCTACCTCTACCTCACAGACAACGAGAATCCTGGAGGCTTCTGCTGGATCCCGGAGGTAGAGATTGTGAATTGCTTGGATATCCCGGGGATGCCTTCCAGCCTCTAGCAAGGCTTGGGGGGGCACGCCTTCTTTTGAACCGGCCAGGCCGCCTGTAAAGCATGGAGTCATGGTGTTCTCGGTCGATCCAGATGGCTTTGGGTCAAAACCAACCCTGATTGGGATTGAGGCCCTCATTCTGACACAGGCCCAGATGAGGGATCGTGTACAGTGCCCAAAGTGGCGATGCTGAGAAAAGATGAAACAGGGCCGTGCATAGCTGTGCTTCTCGAAACTGAAGCTTCGTGAGTTCAACCTCCCCGAGTTGCCAGCCACTAGAGGCATCCGCCCAAGATCGTTGATTCCCAGGTGCTCTGCGAGATGTGGGGATCTACGTCCACAGAGCCGGAGGGACAGACGGAGTCGCATCCTCTGCAACGTTTCGGGTTGACATGTTTAGGACAAGGTTTAGTGGTTTGGGGTTCTGGACTTAGGATGAAGGATTTAGGGTCACGACTTGTTGGCTGGATGACAACAATGTAACACTGTTGCACACCTGCAGCCCCGAACCATGAAGACGATACCCTCAGCCCGAAACTGTCAACCACCAAGCCCTATGGATACGCCCCCGCAGCCTTTGACAGCTGTAGTACCTAGTATTCCGAGCCCATGCAAAGCGTGCCCACAGCAGGCTCGGCTGTTTTTTGTTGCCTGTTCGGGCTTCCAACAAACCGACTATTGGGGTCTGACTAGTCCAGGGTTTCGGGTTGAGGGGTAATATTGCCATCGCCTAATCACAGACCTCTTACAATTATTAGGTCAGTGAATGTTCTTGTGGCGCTTCCTATGGGTTGAAGGTGTGGGTGTTTGTGTGTGTGTGTGTTCAGACTTTAGATGATTTTGCAAACATGGTTCGCGGTTTTGACAGAGCCCTCTAGTGGAACCTGCGCCTAAGCCCGAAACGCAGCCCTTCCTCCCTTTGGAATCTGTCTCTCATCCCTGAACTTAAACCTTCAAGCTACAGCTTCAAAGTCTAAAGCATTTTGAACCCTTAATTCTCGGCAGTGGCCCTGTGGCCTACAGCGCATGGTGGCCTGCCTATATACTAAAGAAGGGCTTATCAGTTTGGGGTGTCAGAGTTGATTAGGGTATGCTTTGGCGTCGTTGTCGAAGCCTGAACAAGCCTCATTGCAGAACTCACTCCATCCGGAGGAGTATAGTCACAAAGTCCTCTTCAGCTGCTTGGCTGTCTAAGTCCGCATAAGCACGAAATCCCAGGCCTAAACTAGAGCCTCAAAGCTGTGCCGACCAGCCATTCCATCCTCGTGGTCCAGCAGGGCTTCCTTTGAAGAGAGTCCGGTCACTCTCCACATAGTCCAGATACGGGTGCACTTCTATTTCGAGTTCAACCCAGAGTGCCCCGCAACGCTTTCACTCCTGTGCATGCGCAGAAGGCAACCTTGAGCCCTAGGCCCGAACGCACGGAAAGCTTTAAAACCCGCCAGCCCGAAACCTTTAACACCCTACATCGAAAATAGCTCCTGAAGCCTTGGCGGCTTGTTAGACGAGGTTTCAAGGCCCCTTACCTCTGATTCCCTTGAGAGCCGCAGCAAGGGGCCCCCTCTAATTCGTGCACTGGCACAGCCCGCTCCGGCGATGACCTGAGGGCACCGGAGCATTCCGCAGAAGTAGGGCTCGATTGGTGTGTGAAGCTTATAGCTTGAACTGCCTAAGGTTGGGACTAGGGCTTCGGTCTGAGCTAGTCAGGTTTAGGGCCTCAGGTTTGGAGTTTAGGGTGCAGCGGTTGTTCAGGGTATGTGGGGGCTTAACAAGTACGCACTGGCAGGTGGACTCAACCTAAATACGACCGTAGGAAGGTTTGGGATCCATGACAACTCAGTGAAACCTAGACCGCCTTGAGCTTGTGGAAGCTTTTGTATGCACACTCGGAGTTTTAGCTCTTGGAAGACAGCAGCTGCAGGACTTAGGGTTTTTGTATATGGATCCTGCTTTTTATGTGCTTTCTGTGCTTGCGATCTAGGAGTCACTCTTGCTCTTGGGTTCATAGTCTCATACATCATGATTGTTGATGAATGACATTTGCGGAGTTCTGAAGCACGGCCCAATCCCAAGCTCTCAACACATCTTGCAGAGATGTGCCCTCGAACTTTCGCAGGTTTACGGCGTGCACACGTTCAACCAGTGCCGTTTTGCTCTGTGACCTTAAGCCTGAAGCCCTGAGTACACACCCAGATCCCAAGCAATGAAGTCTCAAGTCTACGTTCCCCCACAGCCTAGGGCCCCCCGCATGTCCTAAGGCCCCCCGCATGTAAGCTGCCTACTGATGCCCTCTGCTTGGAGGGTCATGGGTAGGTATAAGTCGGGGTTTTGGTACCGCAATTGGGTATATATCTATCACCGGTCATGCTAGCCTTACGTCTTCATAGTCCTACGTACGGGGCCCCGGATCCCTTAACTCGGTCCTGAACCCTCGGCCCCTATCACAAACCTCGTAAAACCTATACTTGCTAGGTCCCTGAGGATCCCCTCTATCTGGGGACTTCTTGCAAGCTGCACTCCGCCTTCCTGGCGTAATTCATCGTTTCGTTCTTTAGTGCATTGGTGGCTGTACCCAGGGAGTCCTTCTGGGGCTTGGGGCTGTAGGTTTAGAGTCGAAGCAGAATTCGGTATGATTCTTCGGCTGGGGCAAGGCTGTGCCGTTTCCTAAATAGAGGTTCGATCGCTAGTTCGATCGCTAGTCTTGCAAGATGCTTGGGCTCCCTGGGGTGGTGCAGATACGACCTCCCTTGGAAACTTGCCAACTGGTCAACAAGGTCTCGGAATCCGGGCGGTGGAGTTCAGGATTTTCGGGATGAACATGTACAGTGTGAGGGTATCTGGAGGGAAGAGTTTCCGAAACATGGGATCGCTCTTTAGGGTTTTCGAACCACCTTGTTACTGTGTGTAGTCTTTCGTCACATAGCAACGCTGTTGCCAACATGCTGGGCAGAGATTTCCAGGGGCTTTAGGGCTTTAGGTTTCCAGGGCTTCAGGGTTTTGGTGCTATAGTGTTTTTAGGGTTTAGGGTTTAGGATGCGGAGATTAGGGTGTTTTGCGGTTTTCAAAAGAGTCCGAGCGTTATACAGGTGTCATATAAGGGCTTAGAGTTTGGGCGTAAAGGTCTGAATTTTTAGGGGTCCTTTCAGGGTTAGTTTTTTGTGGCTTCACAGGGTGGCGCTTGTTGCGCAGACTTTCGTTTGCAAAGCCCTTCCCCTACCTCCAAGCCCTGTCTAGGAACTTCCCTTTGCCTTAACCTCCTGTGTCGTTGGAGCTCGTCGGCTGTTTCTATCCCCCTCCGTAGTACCCGGAATGTCTATGCAGGTTCTTGGACTCGGCTTAGCCCTGGCCTATTTGCCGTCGTCGTTTTGGGCAGGTCAAGAGGTTTGAATCAAGCTTGCTGCTTGCTTCAAGGGCAGCTTTGGTATGGTCTTTGAAGTGGCTCCGGATATGCACGTGTTTTCGTGCTGAATGCTCTGGGGCCAGCCTTGAAATAAAATACTCCCAGCTCCTGAACCCAAGACTGCCCATCAGATGCCCTATCCTACGCGCCTGTACCCCAAGGTTCCCTTAGGGGCTCTAGTTGGGTCAGAGGTTTCCTCCAAATTCTGTGAACCTCGAACCCTAAATCCTAAACCCTGGCTCAAGCTCAAGCTTTCGACTCAAGCCGCTG